CGGGGGTCTGGCCGGAGTTGGGGGGTGGGGGGCGTGGAGTCGGGGGTCACAGACAGAGAGGAGCGGTCTCTCACGGTGACAGTGCATGGGGTGGCCCTGGGTGGGAGACGCTGGCTGCGGCTGGGGTGGGGTCGGACTTGGGCCTGGGGTGAGGCCAGACAACGGAAGGCTCCCCCGCTGGCTCTGAGCAAGTCGGAGCCAGGCCAAAGTCCCCAGAGGGACGGGGCTCCTTGCGGCGGCGCTCGACACCGTGAGGGCGGTGTCATGATAGGGTGAAGGTGCCAAGGCGACCGACCGCCCTGGGTTGGGGAGACAGGGGTAGGTGGACAGAGCGCTTGGCATGGACTCCCATGGGGCAGGGGCTTTGAAGGGAAGATTGAGGCGTGATCGGGATTGGGGTGGGCGGGACACAATCAACACATAGGCAAAGTCGGAATTAAGGTCACGCGGGGTCAAGAGTTTTTGGTTGTGTTCCCCTAGAGATGCCAAGAGATGTCCTGCTTGGCAACCTGCATAAACAAGCTGTAACCTAGCAACAGCTGCGGGCGCCCGGCCAGGCCCCACCCCAGCACCCCTGGTTTGCATACGAAGCTTGCACCAGGCACGGCCCCTACCCTCAAGATTCCTGCATATGAATCTTGCCACTGGAAAGACTTTTCTCCCAAACCCTCAATTTGCATATGTGACTTTCGCTGGACCAGGCTCCGCCTCCGATCACTCAATTTGCTCTCACCGTGGAAATGGTGGTTTAGCATAGAAAGCTAGAGTAGTAACCACGTGTGAGACCCACGTTTTAAAATTAATTCTATATCTTTATGCCTTACGTAGTTTTGATTAGTGAGAAACTTTATGCCTACTGCTTCCCTGATAGGGTACTAGCCTTTTAATGAAATTTAATTTCTTCATTTTTAATAATGAGAGTGTAATACCTGCCCACCATTTCAAAGTAGCGATTAGAAGCGTTAGAGAGAAATTACATATATTTGATATATATACATGATATATAATATATAACAAAAAATATATTTTTAAAATATATAAAAATATAGTTGTGCTAAAATAAGGATTTACCAAGTAGTGGGGATAGTACTGCATGCAGTCCATGGCACTCTGTTATTTCTTTTTTTTTTTTATATTATGCAATAAAATCACCCTCTTTTGGAGCCCAGTTCTATGAATTTAGCACATGTATATATGTGCGTATCCACCGCCACATTCAGGATATGAAACAGCTCCAGCAACCCAGGAAAGTCCCTGGTCTGCTGGCCCTGTTTAAGTGCTTGAGTTTTGCTAAAATAACGTTTGTTAAGTAGAGTCCTGGGTGGGGAGTTGGATGGTGAGCCAAGATTCAAGAAAGACCACAAGGGAAAGTGAAATAGAGTTTATTACTGTACTCACAGGTCCTGGATGAGGTACACAGCACACCTGGAGGGCCACACAGGAGGTCAAGGCAGGGTACAGGCAGAGAGCAAGCAGCAGGACCTGCAGCTTATGCCTTTTTTAAGGTCCATAGGTGA